TTCACTCAGTGCTATTTTTCTTTATGAGATGGCTCTGTGAAACAAAACAGAAGTGGATCCCTGGTGCGCTCTCTGACCAAGACCCCTCCAGAAGGCTTCACCTTGTCTGTCCTAAAATGAGGCTGCACTTATGCTGCTGTTTGCCTACTTGACACTATGATGGGTGACCAGGATGAAATTCTCAGAAACTGTAAGAAGCTACTACAAAGTTAGGCATCCTGGACTGACATAGTTCTTTTCCACTTGAATAATTCCTTCTGTGGAGACCTTAATTCCAAATCAAAATGGGACTAGCATACAGCGTAAATACAAGGTGGCTATTCTTGTTTTTAAAACACATACACTGGGTTTTTTTAATCCTCAAAAGATCCTTTTGCTGACAGATTGCTGTTGTAATAAAAGGAATCGACAGGACAGGCTATTAACTGAGCTGACCTTTGGCCTCTTCTTAGGGAGACAGAGAATATAGTGCAGCCTAAAGGCAAAGAGATGTTGAGCAAAGCATGGTGTCATGGAAGAAAACTAACTAACTAACTAACTAACTAAGGTCCCGTCCACACGAGGGGATTTGGGCCAGTTGCGGGACAGTTCGGGGGCGGATCAAAGCAGCGCGATCACACCACAACATCTGGGAAGCGTCCTGCTTTCGTACCCGAACTGGCCCTTTCCCCGGAAAAGCCGGCGCAAGTTGAACCACCTACCTTGGTGGTTCAAATGGAAACGGCGCCTCTAGCCGGGCGTTGCTGCAACCCCGGCCCGGAGCCAAACTGCGCATGCTCCGACATGCGCCGTTCGGCCGGATCCAGGTTAGGGCCGTGTTTTCTCCCTGGCGTTTGATCGTGCCGGGGAGAAAAGGTGTCGCGGCCAGGGGATCCGTGGGATCCCGCGGCCAGGGGATCCGCGGCGTCTCAACGTTGGCGCGGCTTTTAAAAGCCGCGCCTTAAGAGGCTTTTCCCCTGCCATGTGGCAGGGGCCTAACTTAACTAAGCAAGTGTATGGCCTCAGACAGGCTGTCTGTAGAGAAGTATTGATATATTTCATTCATCATTCTTCTCAGTGTTCTTGTAGGGCATGTAAAGACTCAATATCAACTTGCTCAAAGCTAATTAGGCGAGCCTCTTTTATTCAACTATTTTTTGGTTGCTAATTCTGAATTTCCTCCATGAACAATTAAATGCAAAGGACTATTTTTTTCTACAAATGTTCTAAATTAGCTCATGGATATTATCACAAATGCATATGCAGGCTTGCAGTGTAACTCAGGCATTATAGAGAAGGGCAGGCAGCGAGCAGCACATTTACCATCCTTTCTGATAATGCATCAGGAAGGCAGGAAAGGCAGTTTCTCATAAAGACAAAGTAAGACTTTAAAGCAATAAAGTTCTGTGCTAACAGTAACTGCTGGTCTTGGCTGCCTGGACTGATTAATGTTAACTCTGCAGGCACAAAAGTCAGTGTAATGCAGTGGTTACAGTGGTGGACTAAGACTAAGATGGTTCAAATCCCTGCTTGCCATGAAAGTCACTGGGAGACCTTGGGCTAGTATTTTTTCCCTCAGTCTAACTATTAATGTGAAGATAAAATGCAGGAAGGAAGGGCCATGTATACCACTTTGAGTTCCTTGGAGGAATATTTAGATAAATATCACCTTGAAATACATCTCATTATTAATTATGGAATGACACTTTCAGGGTATGTTGCCTCATATTCAAAATAAGCTTCATGAGCAATTAAATTTATGAGCCTGTTACTTGTAAATTTCATCCGCATCACTAGTGATCTTCATTGTTGAGCACGACTTTAACTCTGCCTGTCCCACACCCAAACCAAATGCTTATGATACTATGGCAAACAGATTGCAGTAGAACTGAAACATTTATGATTACAAGGTGAGATGGAAACTTGTGCAGGTTTGAGACAACTGTGGAGTCATGAGGCCGACTGGACAGAATAGTTAGGAAAAAAGCAGAGTCAGCAGTAAGCAGGAAGTCACAAGCTGGTAAAAACACAAAATAAACTGCACTATATTCTCTGTCTCCCTAAGAAGAGGCCAAAGGTCAGCTCAGTTAATAGCCTGTCCTGTCGATTCCTTTTATTACAACAGCAATCTGTCAGCAAGCACAGTAAATAACACCCTTTCTTTCAGACACAGTTTCCCTGTGTGAACAAGTCCACTGTGTATACACACTCTGGAATTTAGTATCTACATCTGATCTCAGTGCTTTTTTAAAAAATGTAGTTTTAATAAATAAATCTTCTGAACTATAAACAATGGAAGTATAAAACCTTCAACGGGTTTAAAACTTTTCCCAGCATGAGGTGTGTTTATTTAAATGTCCTTGCAGTTCTAATTGGACTTGAATTTTGAAGGAGGATCAGAAAGTGATCTTGAAGGTTTCTGTCTTGCTGACAAATCAGTGATGAGGGGGGTGTTGTTTTGTTAGTAAGGTAGGTTTGAAAACGTTTGTTTAAGGGTATTTTGGAGGGGGAAAGATTGTCTAAAGTGATAGAGCTGTACATTAAAACAAAACTAGGTAAAAGGTAAAGGTTCCCTTGCTCGAAAGCCAGTCAAATCCGACTCTAGGGTTGCAGTGCTCATCTCCGTTTCAAAGCCGAAGAGCCAGTGCTGTCTAAAGACGTTCCCATGGTCATGTGGCCGGCATGACTAAACACCAAGGCTCACGGAACGCTGTTACCTTCCCACGAAGTGGTCCCTATTTATCTACTTGCAATTTCTTGCTTTCGAACTGCTAGGTTGGCAGGAGCTGGAACTAGAGATGGAAGCTGAGTCCATCATGCGGCACCCGGGTCTCGAACTGCTGAACTACTCACCTTCCACAGCCTGCAGTTCAGCATCTTAACCACTTGAGCCACCGCAGCTCCGTGCTGCACTCAAAAGCGAGTTTTAAGATGGGGCTGCATCTATATTTAAAATAGTAACTAGGCTCCCATATATAGGACTCAGGCTCCAAATAGGAGTTATGCCTCTAAAATTCCCACACTCCAAGCTGAGACTACTGTGTCTGCAACCCTATTCATAGGAATTCTTGCTGCTGAACTCAGGGTGTTTCTTTCTTATCCATAGGATCAGGCTGTGTCCTCCATAGGCTGCCTATCGTTATTGTCATATATCATGAAATATATGGGTTTATTCATACAGTCATTATTTTTCCACTGTAAAATCATCATTTTCAATTACCTCATGGTGGATATTTCTGTATATGGATGTGTGTCATGAATACAGACAATCTATGTTGGAAATATTTGATCAGAAAATGAACTGACTCATAATATGAATACACGGACATTCACCATGCAGTGGCTAAAAGCATATGTATTTCTGGGTAGACATCCGTGCGGGGCTTGTAGCAGAAAACTACCCTTGGATTTGGTCATGTGAACCTATTCACAATAGGATAATTGGCTGTATATGAGTTCTGTTTACAGCACATTCCTAAGCAATTATACAGTTCTAAATCCATTGACATCAACAAACTTAGAAGGCTGTAACTCTCATTAGGATTGCACTATTAATACTGTAGTATCATTTAAGGCAGACAAATGCCGCTTCTCCACATCACAGAGATAATGGAATGGAATTGGTCTCCAATATTGGAAGACCAGGGCACAACACTGATCAGAGGTTCAGTGTGGCAGTGCCAAACCTTTGTGCTTTAAGAGGCCCTTCGGCCACAAAAATCCACAGAGTGACAGAAACAACTGTCAGCAAATACTCCAGTCCCCAGGTTGCAGCCATAACTGGGATTCCAGGGTTTTTGATGTTGGTAGTTAGATTTTATCTTCCAGCTGTGAAGAAAACATCTGTCTTCCTAGAATGGCTATGTGACAGAAAGAGCCAGGATCCTTTTTTCCCCCCCAATTGTTGGTCAAGAATATGAACGTGTTAGCAAGCCAGGCTATCAGGAACTAATTAGAGGCAAAACAAGTAAGACAATAGGAAGTTTATTTAACACTGAAGAATCTTCCCTTCACCATAAACTTGAACTGCTAATTCAAGCCAAGGAAAGATGCATCTGTTTTGCTTGGAGTCCAAAGATGTCCAAAAAGCAGCTGGATAATTTTAGTTCAAACTGGGGCTAGTCTGCTAGTGAGCTTTCTGTGGGCACACCACAACTGTTAGTACTACAAGTGTGGGCATAGGAAAGTGCTTTTTCTCTGGGAGAAGGAACAACATGGAGTGTGAGAACTCCATGCCACCATAACTCTTGCCTCCATATGTTAACTGCATGCAACAAACTTGTACCCTGTCTGCACTGCAGCAAGAGGAGAAACACTACACACTAGCAGACAATAGGGGCTACTCATGGCAGCCAACAGTAGTCTTACTTAATTACTACTGACATTTATATCCAGCCTTTCTTTCATCATAAAACTCTATTTAAATATACCTTGGCCCCGGTCACATGGGAGGATTTGCCCCACAAAACGGACGGGATGAGGGTGCATCAAACGGGCACGATCATACTGCAACATCTGGGAAGTGTCACGCACCCTTCCCTGATCCGTCCCTTTGGCCTGAAAACGTGCATTGAAAAGGTACCGGCAACAGAGCACTATCTTCCGGATGATGTGCGGCAACTCCAGGCGTCTGATCAGGAAAGCGCTGGTAGCCCGTCGCAGCCAGCGCCGTTCCCCGTCCCACGCATGTGCACAAACGCGCAACGTCCGTTTTGCTGTGCTACATCTGATCGTCTGCTGAAGGCCAGAGCACGGACGCGTCGGATCGCGCTACCACGGTTCTTTTTGCTCCGGCTCTAATTTGCCTCCCTTCAGCGGCACAGTATCCCGCTCATGTGACCGGGACCCTTGATCACCTGAGCAGAGTACTATTCTTGGCAAGCATGCCAGGGAGAGACATCTTGTAGGTAGACTCTTTCTTTCCCAGTTTTTCTTAAAACAAACAAACAAACAAACTGCAGAGGCACAGTTTGTGATGGGGTGCTATGGCTGCAACAACTTGGGCCTAAAAGGCTACTTACATTGACAGACTCCTTGCCATTGTACTTCACTCGGATCCTGGGCTCTTGAATGACATCCAGATTGGTCCCTGTGATAGTCAGAGGTGTGTGGCCACTAAGAGGAAGCAGAAGACATTGGGTTAATGGGGTTTGGCAAGGGGAGCTGGGGCAGGGCCCAGGATCTGTGTTTCTGGCAAACACAGATGTCTGCAAAAATCAGCAAGATGTTTTCTACAGGCTGTACAGGAACTCAGTGACAGAGTGGATTAATATACCATCACCCTGACTGGCTAGAACAGTCTTACAAGTTAATTGGATTTTCTGGTCTCATCTGTCCCCCTAGTGGGCAGTCACCTCTCCCATGTAACATTTCTTAGGGCTGGCAGGATGAAAAAATAAAGACCCAGGGCTAAATAAATAAGGGCAATAAATTAGTCAGAGTGCTTAATTATTTACACAGTGATGCTCCTAAGTAAGGGAGGCTGCACATAATATACTGTGTGGAGGAAAGGGACTGCCAGTTTGTTTGCCTGCCTTTGCAATTTCCAGTATAACTACTACAGGGTAGGGATTTACACAGAAAAGGCAGGACTTGCTTGACTGGGACCATATGGGAGAATGAAGAGGCATATGATACCAAAGTGATACCAGGGATGTTTATCATATAGCTTGAGATATGTTGGGGGGGGGGGCTCAGATTTTAAGCACTGCTAGACAACATCTCTTGAAAGTCAACATATGCATTTTTTCTATAACAGGAATTCTTTTGCACAGAATAGATGGCTGGGGAACATATGAAAGGGGCCCACATTTACTTTAGGAAGAAGTGACTGAGAGTTAGACCGTGTAGATCAAAGCTTCTTCCTCGAGTATTAGCTAAGCTGATCACCTGAGTGATTTTAATGACTGAAAAAACCAACAGCCTTACTGCATTTTATCCCCCCCCCCACAAAGTGGTAGTTTGGATGACTGCTGACTCTGCTCAGATTCCAAGGTTGGCCTCTCCATTGAGGCATCCCTAGTTTCTCAGGAGTATATGGGGTGGGGGTCTCCACAATCTCTTCTAGTCCAGTTTGTGGATGTATGCCTTGTCTATCTGTTAAATAGCAATCCGTGCCCTATCAGTGTTATCCAGATTTCTTCCTACAATGAAATCAAAAGAATGGCTGAGACCAGCAAAGACCCAGTTTCCCACTTAAAAAAAAATGTCTTGCTCCTGTGCTGGTGAGAAGAGTCATTCCACACTAGCCACACCAGCTTTGTTAGCAGTAGAAAAGAGCAAGAGTCCAGTAGCACCTTAAAGACTAACAAAATATGTGGCATGGCATGAGCTTTTGTGAGTCATTGCTCACTTCTTCAGATACTGCTAGAATGGGAGTCCATCTGTCCTGTTTATTGGAAAGTGGAGTGATTTCAGATGCTGAATGACATTAGCTGGCAAATCATTGCTACAGACAGACTAACACGGCTACCCATCTCCAACTTTGTTAGCTATGTCTAGAGAGCCAAAAATTTATTTGGCCTAGAGAAGCTTATTATGACACAATTTGGGTTCTACTTCACAAAGATACATCTACCTCATATTTATTTAGAACATTTCCATCCAGCTTTCTATTCTCAGGAGTACTCAGGGTATCTTCCATTTTAAAAAAGTAGAATACATTTAATCCATAAGGTACAAATGCATAAAAATCAATAATCATAATATATACATAACAATCACTAAAACTAGCTAAAAACAGCAAACTTCCCCCAACAAAAAAGTGTTAAACAGTAGAAGAAACAGTAGCAAATAATTAAAAGAACACTGAAGATCTCAATCCAAAGAATGAAATTAATTTTCAAGAGGTCAGGGGGAAAAAAACATTTTAAAAATTTATAACAGAAGGTAAGAAGAAATTAGGGTGATACCATCTGGGGCAGGGGATGCCATACCTCAGGAGTAGGCCGGCTGAAAAGGCAGTGTCATGGGCACCCTCAATCTTACATCTATTAATGTGAACTGCCATAACAGGACATCACCAGCAGGCAGGGCTACCAAGAAGGATGAACTAGAGTAACAAAATTTGGCATGCTTGGTCATCCGGGGAACCAAGCAGCTGGACAAGTAATGTGCTTTTTAAATAAAATATCTGGTTTGGAGATGGGTAATATGGGGGATCTCAAGTGGAATAGTTGTCTGGAGGCCTGTGGTGGCTCTCAATAGCCTTACCAGCAAAACTGAGAGGCTAATTAAGAAAAAAAAAACCAAAACAAAAAAAACACCAACACCCTGGTTTATCTATGAGAGCAGAGCCTGCAGGCTTCTCCAACTCTCACTTTTGGAAATCAGTGTAAAGAGCAAAATGCCTCTAAAGCCAGACCAGAATCTCCTCTTAAGTTAGGGTTGCCAGGTCTGGGTTGGAAAATACCTGGAGACTGTTATGTATTGAACTTGTGTTTCGTCCGAGCATGGACTTAGCTTCCTTCACAGAACAATAGGGGACCAGGATCCTGGAAGGAACCTATTGTATAGGAGTTCTTATGTAAATAGCCAGTCACGGGGAGTGTGTGTGTGTTGGGTGTGGTGTTGAGCACGCATTTAAGCAGGGCTTCGGTCCTGCTTGTGTTGTCTTAGAGTTGAACTAATCACTAATAAAGCATGAGCTGATCACTAACGCGCCTAAGAACCCTGTACATTTCACTGGTGATGAGGATGGGATCCTGATGGAAGAGCCAGCAGCTGAGAGCATCGCACCGTGCAACGAGCCCCAGAGCCCCGGCATCGCACCGCTCCAGAAAACATGGCGATCTCATTGGGAGCAGGACAATTGCCCGAGTTCGACTGTGCACATCCTGACCTCTGGGAAGCATGGGTAGAACACCTGAAATACTTAACTGTCTTCCAGCACGTAACCAACACCAAAATGAAGGCCCTCCTGCTCAGCTTGTGTAGAATCACCATGCTATGGCTTGTCCAGGACCTCATTGCACTGTCAGGCATACCAAGAAACCTGATTGGAGCCACCCAGGGCCCCAGTGCATCAGTGTGAGTCTGCACACAAACCATGGTCCCAGCTTCACCTTGATTTTGTGGGATCCTTCCAGGGACAGATTTTCTTTCTTCTAGTGGACTCCCACACTAAATGGTTGGAAGTGGTCCTGGTCAGCTCCACCTCATCCCAAGCAGCAATTTGTGCTCTGTGTCAGGCCTTCTGTACCCATGGCATGCCCAACACCATTGTGATGGACAATGAGACGGCCTTCACCTCGAGCGAGTTCCAGGAGTTCATGGCCCGCTACACAATCAGGCACATCCACTCTGCTCCCTTCCACCTGGCAACCAACGACCAAACGGAATGGATGGTGAGAACTACAAAGGAGTCCCTCAGCAGGATCATCCATGGGGACTGGGACCACCGGCTCGCGGTTTTCCTTCTCGGCCACTGCATAACCCCGTGCACAATGACCGGCCGCAGCCCAGTGGAACTCCTCATGGGCAGGTGCCTAGCCACCCACCTCGATAGACTGCACCCAGACTGCACTCTGGAACACATCTTGACCCCAGAAAATCAGGCAGCACCCCGCGGATTCTTCCTCGGTGACCCGGTCTATGCCTGGAACTTCTCCAGAGGCCCAGCCTGGATCCCTGCAAAAGTTATCAGGGTCACCGGGGCCCTGTCCTATGAGGTGTCCACTGGAGGCACATTGACCAGCTCCACCGCCGTTTCCTCCCTGCTGAGTCGGGGTTGCCCAACACATTCCCAGACAAGAGTGACGGTGAGCTGCCAAGCCCCCAGAAACTTGAGCCTGAGAGAGACACATCAGCGGACCCCCCAGCAGCTGGCAACCCAGCTAACAACCAGTGGGACAAGGAGGTGAGCCGCCAGAGCCAGCGACATCAGAGAGCCCTGACATCATGTCTACATCACCACTGTCTGCCAGTTCCTCAACGGAACCAGCGAACTCGGCTCCAGCAACTACCGCCCTGCAGTCAGAACCATGGCACTCGAACCGAGAGCGATGCAGACCAGTATACCTTAGAGACTTCACTTGTTAAGGCTGCTCTGGACTGTGGGTGGAAGGGTGTAATGTATTGAACTCGCGTTTCGGCCGAGCACGGACTTAGCTTCATTCACAGAACAATAGGGGACCAGGATCCTGGAAGGAACCTATTGTATAGGAGTTCTTATGTAAATAGCCAGTCACGGGGAGTGTGTGTGTCTTGGGTGTGGTGTTGAGCATGCATTTAAGCAGGGCTTCGGTCCTGCCTCTTTTGTCTTAGAGTTCAACTAATCACTAATAAAGCAGGAGCTGATCACTAATGTGTCTAAGAACCCAGTACATTTCGAAGACTTTGGGGGTGGATCCAGGAGAGGGCGGAGTTTGGGGAGGGGAGGGGCCTCAGCATGGTACAATGCCATATAATTCACCATTGCGAACATATTCAGACATAGAAACTTCCAATGAAGAAACAGACACTTCAGAGGAATCTTACAGTAGTCATCTTAGAAATAGACAAAGTACTTTTAGACAACAAGGACCCAATAAGGTTCCTGCAGGAGCCTTTTTTAATCCGAGGCAGATTACGCCGCCAGGAAAGACATAGTAGTAAATTTATCTAGTAGACTATTAACTCACACAGAAAAAACAGCACTAAATAAGTGCTTAAATGTTGTTATGGTGCCAAAATACAACTCTTTTAACCCAAGAGTTGACATTTACAAATTAATTAGGCTTTTGAAGTTAAAAATGTTTTTTTTGGAGATAAACCTGAAATAATGCCAACTCCCTGGCGCCAGAGATCCTCCTTTATGCCCAACATAACAGATCTTCATACATAAGAAGCTTCCTGATTACATTGGTCCACATAATATATCCCCTTAAGTAACTGCATTTTTAAGATCATCAAAAAATATTGAAGCTTGGTTAGTGATACTCCAGGTTGCTCACAGCTGCCCACCATTAGCAGAAAAACAAGAATCATTAAGGACTAGATAGTGAGGGTTGATACTAGCAAACCACCTGTTTCTAATCTTCCAGCAGGTCAGTATAGATGGTGGTGAATGCAAAATTTGAGGGCTATGCCTAAAGGACAGTGCAGTAAACCCACCAAAAAGATTATAAGACTTTATT